AAAAGCTTTCGTATTTATATTATTTCGTATTAAATAACACCTGAATAACACCTAAGTCCTCAGGAATGGCAACGCATAGGGGGTATCATGGGCGGAACAGTATGTGTGTGTACTGTTATGTCCATGGTACTGCTCATGTCTATAGTCGACGGTTACTACTTTCCATCAGGTGGGCAGTCAGCTTGTTTGCCATTCTAAGTTGTATAAAAAAAATACCTTAGTTCTCCGGAATCGAACGATCCTGGTCATGTCCATAGACGATGCCCGCCACTTTCTAGCACTTGAGCCATCAATTTTTATAACTTGTATTTTTATATGCTACTTTTAATTAACATAAAATATTAACGCTAAGAGTGAATTTATGGAAATACCCGTAAGAAACGCGTGGGCGAAGCCATATGAGAAACAAGTAATCTTTACTAATATAAAAAAATTAATACTAAATAAAGAGAATAGATTTAAATGATTGTGTGTCTGTTTTCTTGTAATGGTTAAACTCAAAAGTTAATTTAATTAAGTTAATACAAAAATCGATTTTAAAAATTCTTTCATATATAAACAATTGCAAAAGAAAAAAATACATAATATACAGCAAGTCAGCAGACGACAATTTTATTTTACAACTAATATAATATAAATAATAATATAATTATAAATCTTATGTTGTTTTATGTATTATCTATTCTTATGTATATGTTGTGTGTGATTAGTAACAAACAAATAAACGATCTATCTATCTATCTATATAATAATAAGGACCAACTTATTTTACAAACACTTATAGAAAGCGAGTAAGGTAGGCTACATATATTTTTGAAAATTCTATTCACTTGCGCAAAGTCAACCGCTAGTAAGTAATATACTCGTATATAAAAAAAAAAACTCAAATTATAAAATATTTATAGTCTTACGTAAATAAAACACAACCAAAGTGACCGACATAGGCTGAAAGATAAGTAAGCTGAAGTGCCAATAGGCTGGATACGTAGCTCGAAGAACAGACAACCGATGGAAAAGATAAGGTCTAGAGTGACGACTTCGTACAAACAAACACAATGTAGGACGACACAATGCCCACAGCCACTTTCTTCTATCGTAAGGCTCGCCATCGACAGGGAGTTCATCCTCATGTTCTACAGCCTCAATGGTCGCGTACTGCGCGGTTTCAAAGATTTTTCCTCCCACGAACACTCAGGTTGTGAAATGAGCTCCCTGCCGAGGTTTTCACAAGAGACTACAGCATGGGGGTTCTTCAAAAGGGGGGTAAAGAGGTTTCTTCAAGGTCGGCAACGCATGTGTAATATCTCTGGTATTGCAGGTGTTCATAGGCTATGGTAACCACTTACCATTACGTAGGCCGTATGCTTGTTTGCCACCTCAGTGGTATATAAAAAAAAGGACGACTCCCAACTAGATATAATGATGACTTCAAATGCAGGGTGTCAGCGGATGCAGGTGGCTCAGGACCGTTCCTTATAGCAGTCAGCAACGAATGTTCAGTAATAGACAGTTAACGGCTGATATGATAATGATAATAATGATGATGATGATGAAATAAAATAATAAAATAATTATAATTAATACACAAAGTTACCAAACAACACGTTAACAAACGGCAGAATTTTGGTGCGACACTAAAAAATTATACAATTTAATACTTAAAAAAAACCTCTATAAAATAATGCATATAATATGTTTACATATAGATAGTAGAGTTATATTAACTCTGCAAAAGTAACATTTTAACAAATAGTATCTAAAGTTTTATTATTACAATAAAAATATATCTTTTCAAAATTATGTAAATAATGCATTAACAAACGGTAAAATTTTGTTATAACTCTGCCAAATTACAATTATTATATTATAGTTAACAAATGGTAAAGTTTTATTATTACAGTACAAAATAATCTTTTAAAATTCTACAAATGACGTTTAACAAGCGGTAGAGTTTTGTTATGATTCTGCAAAATTACGTAAATAATACGTTAACAAATAGTAGACTCTGCAAAATTATACAAATGACTCTTACAAATGGTAGTTTTATTATTACAGTACAAAATTATCTTTTATAAAATATGCAAATAATGTGTTAACAAGCAGCAGAGTTTTGGTAACAGTCATAAGACTCTGCAAAATTATAAAAATGATACGATAATAAATAGTAGACTCTGCAAAATTATGCAAATGACACGTTAATTAATGGTACTCTGCAAAATTATGCAAATGACACGTTAATTAATGGTGACTCTGCAAAATTATTAATAAATGGTAGACAAATGACACGTTAATTAATGGTGACACGTTAATAAATGATAGACTCTGCAAAATTATGCAAATGACACGTTAATAAATGATAGACTCTGCAAAATTATGCAAATGACACGTTAATAAATGGTAGACTCTGCAAAATTATGCAAATGACACGTTAATAAATGATAAACTCTGCAAAATTATGCAAATGACACGTTAATAAATAATAGACTCTGCAACATTATGCAAATTACACGATAATAAATAGTAGACTCTGTAATATTATGCAAATGACACATTAATAAATGGTAGACTCTGCAACATTATGCAAATGACACGTTTATAAATGGTAGACTCTGCAAAATTATACAAATGATTGCAACAAATGACGGAGTTTTATTATTAAAACTAAAGAGATAGAGTATTATTAAATACGTGAAGCATGTTACTTAAATCTGAACGTTAAGACAGTCAGCACTATGCCATATAAAGGTTGTCTAAAAGAGATCGCTTTTAGCAATAAGGCCACCCATTGTTTTCTGCTTGATCTATTACTTATAACTTTCTCTTTCTTTTGTTTCTGCTAATTCATTCTATATTGCCCTGTATGTAGGTAACTTGAAAAATTCTGTCTCAAGGTTATACAAAATAAATCTTTGCTTTGACTGAACAAAATAGAAGGGAAAACGTCCCGGTTTCAATATTAAGCGTATTGCGTACATTATTGCTATTATCCGAAAGTTGGTGAGGATTGATAAATGTTTGTTACTCTTTCACGTAAAAACTACTCAGTGAATTTGAATGAAAATTGCTACAAAGGTAATCCATATCCTAATTTAAAATATAGGTTGCTTTATACAAAGATTCACGAGGGCAAAGCTGCAAAATACAACTTCAAAATTACTCATTAAAATATCGTGGAAGTTTATAAAGCATCCAATCGAAATACTTGGGGGGAAAGGGATTGTTAGTAATGGAGAGCGAGAATCCCATTGCTAGCAATATACCCAACCAGCTCGACCTCCTCGCGGTTCTCCCTAGAAACTATCATGGTTAATTCCTGATGAATTCATCTTGATGGACTAACCTGTTTTCATTCTCATCTATCCCCCTTCACTGGTGCTCCGCCAGCGTATCTCGTTAGCGCAGGCGGGATTACCATACCATTTTCACCTATAAAAAAAATCGAAATACTTTACAAACTTTTTGCTAGCAATTGGACTGGTAGTTCGCTTTACTAACAATCCCTCTACCCTCCCTGGGCACCTGATAGGGTATATTGCTAGCAATGGCACTAATAGACTGCATTATATATGTACAACAGTGTTTATATATGTAATTTAGAATGGCAAACGAGCTGACGACCCACCTGATGGAACGTGGTAACCGTCGCCTATAGACATGAGCAGTACCATGGACATAACAGAGTATACTGTTTCATCCATGATACCCCCATGCGTTGCCATTCCTGAGGACTCAGGTATTATTCCTCTGTACCCTGTAAATTCATTGCCATATCCCACCCTTCAAACTGAAACACTCTCCAAGGATTGAAGCCAATTACTGATATTTATTTTTTCATAAAACGTAGATTCATTTCACTAATTTGGCCCCGTCCAATCAACGGGCGAGGACTACAAAAAATATCCTTAGTAAAAATTGTAATAACTTTGTGAGAAGACTTAAGAATATTATAGAATAGACTGATGAAATAAATTTAATACTTGATCTTACTAGAAACAAATAATTAATAGGATGATTTAAGTAGCGCTCTAACCTCAGTTAACTCCGTATTTATATTTATATATTACGACTATTTATTTTATAGGTATACATTATTAGTTGTTATTTTCTTTACCTATCCCAATATTAAAGTACGGGGGGATTATTAGTAATGCAAACTACCAGTAGAAATTGCTAGCAATGTACCCAACCAGGTCGACCTCCACGTGGTCCCCCCTGGAAATCATCGTGCTGAATTTCAAGTGCATTCATCACAATGGACTAACTAGCCTGCATTTTTATCCTCATCTATCACCCCTCACTGGCACTCCACCAGTGTATACCAATAGCGCAGACGGGGTTACCATTCCATTATCATCCATAAAAAAATGAAGTACCGCCTTTTTGTACCTTATTTTCTTTTGGTCAATAAAGCTATATTTGAATAAATAAATAAATACTTTTAGTTCTGTATTCTAAAGCAATAAAACACATAACACGTTGTTCCTCCCTAACGCAAGACAATCATTGACAATAAATAAAATGTAAAAAGCCCATCGCTCATGCGGCACGGGAGCTTTATCAATCAAGAGCAGTGCCGCACAGCGAGTCCACACTGCTCGACATTTTCCGGCGTGATCGTGAACGAAAATACGCGAGCATTGCACATTACGGCCGCCGAGATCGTTGACACGGCACGCGCGTCCGCGGCCCGGCACGGTGTCCTGAAACGTCCGAGTGCGTCGCGTCCGCGTCCGTGTCCGCGTCCGTCCGGCGTCCGGCGTCCGGCGTCCGTGGGCGGCCGCTGTGGGCGTGCAGGCGCTGCACCGCCCCGCCCCCCGCGCGCCCCACGCTGTTTATTCTCGGCCCGACTGGCGGGGCGCGCGACAGTCGCCCGCGTGACGCGCTCTTGAACGCACGCTTGCGTCAGGTACGAACCGGACACGGACGGACCGAGCGGTGCATACAATACCGGACATTGCAAAAAAATCACGTCACCCCCGATTTCGGGTGCGTGGGGCCGGCTTTAATCGAGTATCGAGCGTGAGAAGGGTGTAAGGCGGCGGTGTCGCGGAAAATGCATTTCCCGGCGGGTGCAAGGCGCAGGCGGTGCGGACGGGCGGGGGGAGGGTGCATGCGATGATGGACATCGTATTGATTTCTATCTGCCCGCTCCTCCCTTATTGTGGCGGTGCAGGGCGCGCCATCGATCGTTGCACCGACCCTATGAAATAACTCGTCGCGATCTTGGCGGCCGCGAATGGCCCAACATTGTTGGACGCATCCACTACCTAACTGCAGTGCCGTAACGTGTCTACTGTGCGTGTACTAATTTGTGATAACTTTATAATTATTATATATAATTTATTATTTATTTATTGCGTCACATGGACGTAAGTGACACGACACTTAGTGGAAATTATCATTATTTATGAATTATCTTAATTGATTGTTGCATTTAATGCAAGCATTAATGCGTAGACGTTCTATACGTAAAATTTTAGTATATTAATATCGCTTGGAAATACATCACTTCTCATATAAATACTGTCGACCATTTACAACTTATATTTAGTATCAAGGATTGTTGAATATAAAAAAAAACAACGGTTTTTTTTTTTTTTTAATAAAAATATCAAACGAGATGCAAGCAAACACCCTTCTCTACGCATAAATATTTTTTTTTACAATTCAAATTTATTCATGAATTCGTATCGGATTACGTTGTCACCGCTCGCTCCACACGTCCATATTCGAATTTTATCAAATTAACCGTACATCTATCAGAATACAACAAAAAAAAAAAACATTTTCGCAGGACGCAATATAAACAAACAAACACGCAAAAGAGAAACGTAATACTCAGCAAACGAGGCAAGTGTTAGACAAACAAGAGACAATCAAAGGAAAAGAAGAATAAAAGAGACCGCGAACGAAGCGGCGCAAGAGAAAAGAGAAGAGAGTAGATTGAGCTAAAAGTGCGTTTGGTCAGTAAAGTGGCGGCGACATTGGGCGCACGTTTGGAATGCGCGGGAGTGGAATCGTTTAGCGCGCGCGCACGCCCCGATTCCGCCGTGCCGCCCTCCGAACACCCGGCCATGGCGACCGAAACTGGTGAGTACCTACAAGTCAATATCTTTTTTAAACATTTGAATATAGAAATAAACATAAACAACATACCAGAACAAAACATACATCAGATTTTAAGTTAGACTTTTAAAAAATCTCTATGCAGTTTAGTGCATCCAAATACGTGCAGTTGCGTTTGCATAATGACGGGACAACAATTAAAAAATTCGAAAAAATATTGTTATCACTTGTATTGTTGTTATTAAGAGCCCATCACCAATCAACAGACATTTTTAATTTATTAGCAATTGTATTGATAAACAGAGTGTCATTAGTGCTACCACTTGTGTTATGCTGTCGCCCTAGTACCTAGTAACTAAATAATCCATTTTATCATTATAAAAAGTGTCACGAAAAGCGTAATTAATTTCCGGAAATAACACTAGCGTAAATTATTAAACTTCGCACGATTTGTACGTTCAAAATTATATTGTAGGTAAATATAAAAATAAATGAATTAAATTATTTATATTTTTATACCTACAGATAATGCTCAACTAATTCAGTTTATAAAACTTTTAGCAATAAGTTCGAATTTAATTTCTACACAACCTAATTGTTTATAAATACTTTATATATTTATAGAAATAAATAAATAATACAGGATATAATGATAAATAAATAAAACAATTTTATATGTAATATTACATCTGTAACGTAACGTAATTATACAAAGTATATACTTCAAGTACCTAATCTGTTCTATTTATAGATAAGATGTGACATAACAATTGGGTAAATAATGTTGTACGTAGTTAAGTATTATAAAAAACTAACATTACCTACATAAAATTAATAAATTAATAGTCTAAAAGAACCTTTTGCGTTAACAGATAATTTATGTTACGTTTATCCTATTTATTATTAATAAAACATGTGAATTAATAAATAATTAAATAAAACAATGCTCAAACCAAATTGAGTGAGTATCTTGACGGAGAGCCGTGGATTATTTTTTATTATAATGGTGATTATATAGTACCTATGATTTTATATATATAATATATATCTATTATATATAATATAATATAACTAGATTTATATTATATTAAAACTAAATGCTTTACCGTTAACAAGAGCATCATTCTAAAACGGCTGAATAATTGGAATAATTTTTTTTTTTTATTATTTTAACCTAATTAAAACTTTTTGGTGAGAAAAAAAAATATAAATAAACACAAAGTCTATGGCATCGTCTGGTGCTAATACACCTTCGACAGCTATTATCAAAAATATGTTAAAATATGTTAAATTAAACTATTACAAAGTATAGGTATATGAAATAATTAAGATATTTTTTTTTTACAATGTTTTAAAATAGTCATTATTTCTGTAGTTATTCATTAATTAGACTAATTATTGTTTTTTTTTTTTTTTTAATGGATGATAATGGAATAGTAACCAGTGAGGAATAATAGGTGGGAATGAAAAGACAGATCAGTTAGCCCATCGTGATATTACACCTGGAATTTATTGCGATCGTTTCCAGGGGACACTGCGTGGAGGTCGACCTGATACGGTGTATTGTTAGCAATGGGGTCTAATGACTCCATTACTGGCAAACACTTACCTCCCGACTAATTAATATCACCTACTTTTACGCACTTGACTGGCATAAATTAAAAAGTATTTATTGTTATTTAATATCTATTGCTAATTAATAAAAAATTTATGAAACAACGCGTCATAAAATAACAGCTGTTAAATTAAATGTAACCAGGGTGTTTTTTTTATGGGTGAAAATGGTATGGTAGCCCCGCCTGCGCTAACGGGATACGCTGGCGGAGCACCAGTGAAGGGTGATAGATGAGAATGAAAACAGGCCAGTTAGTCCATCATGATGAATTCATCAGGAATTAACCATGATAGTTTCCAGGGGGAACCGCGAGGATGTCGACCTGGTTGAGTATATTGCTAGCAATGGGATTCTCAGTCTCCATTACTAACACTCCCTTTCCCCCCTGACCAGGGTGTTATGAATGACCTCTAGAACCTTTCAATCCAATCTATTGCCAATGACAAATTTGTACTGCACTTATAAAGCAACAATTGGGAATTAGGTTAGAATTGGAATCGGTCTACAATAGGGAGACTTTGTACAAAAGTCGATTGTTCAGGTACCTCTGTCCCATTCGTGTTTCAACCGTGAAGCAGTTGTGTTTGCATGGCTGTGTTTCGGTTTGAAGGGTGGGATATGGCGTGAATTTACTAGGTACAGAGGAATAACACTCGAGTCTTATTCGGTCACCTGAGTATAATTATTGGATGGTTGTAATATTCAATTTAATGTAATGCTTTTTGTATGTTTGTCCCATATTTCAGACACAATGTACATTGTTTTTTTTTTTAATAAATGACTAACGACATGCAAGTTTGCAGTGGCAAGTTACACTAATATACTATATACCTACAATTTTGCACTGCACTCATAAAGCTTCCCCCTGTTGGGGGTTTGCCAATATTGCCAATATGGCTACATATACCAATATAATTATTTTTACTACGTCAATAAATGCGAATCGGTCAAAAAAATATAGCCGACTCATGAACGAGTAAGAAATACCTATACTTCGGCGGTGGAAAGAAAATAACAACAAAAAAAAACAAATACATTTGATTCCACAAAAAAAAAAAACAAATTTCATCGTAGTAGAACCACTTATATTGATTTAAAAACAAAATTCTTAAAGCGATTTTGGTGATATTGGAAACCTTCTTTTTTTAAGTCGATTAATAGTTAGTCGATTGAGCTATAGACAAATGAAAATTTAAAAAAGGAATATTGTAATGCAAGGATAGGTTCGGAACACAACAACAAAATATCATTGATAATGCATCGGCGAATAGGTACTCACGTACTAGCGAGTACTGAGCGAATTGTTTACCAACAGAATGTACACGGACGCGTGACGTCCACCCGTCACACACGTACGTGTGAGTTCGTTGATATTCGGCCCCCCCGCCCGCTGCCACCCGGCCGCCCCCCATCCTGGGGATGATCCCTCCAGGATAGGGCGGCAGGGGGCCGCCGCGGTTGTTTAATGATGTTGCTGCCGTTTGTTCCAAGATTACGATTTGATTTTTTTTTTATCTATCAATAGGCTATTTAATGCGCGGGAAACGAAATTGTTGAATACAGAAATTTTATTTGTTAAAGACCGACAACTAGATACTAGATATTAATATCACAGATTCGTTACACTGCAAATTAAAAAAAAATATATTATGAAACTAATTAATTACTGATTAATTATTGATTTACTGCCACCACTGATTAACATACGTTCACGCCTTAGGGAAGGAATTAATTAATTAATTTTCTTTATTTATTTATTTATAAATATTAAAATTATTTTCAGTGTTGATTTAAACTTCCTTTTTGTACTCATAAACTTTTTTTACATTTTAATATTAGACTTTGTCTACGTTTTTTTTAAATTTTATTTCAATATTACCTATTTTATTTATATTACCTTTTTTATTTATACTAGCGGCCCGTCCCGTCTTCGCACGGGTTGACATTTTTACATTTTAAAAAGTGGCCATTAAGGCTGCACACGCGACGGAAACTTAAAAATGGAGTAACTTCTCCCGTTTTCCCAACATTTCCCTTCACTGCTCTTCTCCTATTGATCGTAGCGTGATGAAAAGTATACTATAACCTGCCCAGGAGTATGAAGAATAATTGTACCAAGTTTCGGTAAAATCCGTCGAGTAGTTTTTGTTTCTATAACGAACATATAGATAGACAGACAGACAAAAATTTTACTGATTGCATTTTTGGCATCAGTATCGATCACTAATCACCCCCTGATAGATATTTTGGAAATATATTTCATGTACAGAATTGACCTCTCTACAGATTTATTATAAGTATATATTTGTTTGAATCAAGTCTTGCACTGAATGTTCATACCGGTTTCCATTATAAGAATTTACTAGTATAACAATGTACACTGCGTTAACTATAATAACTTTAATAATATCATTCATTAAATACAATTTCTTTTTAAGAAAATAATACAAATTATATATAATATATAATACACAATTATATAATAACATTACTATTTAATTTTAAAATTAGAATAAAAAAAAACATATAATAAAAAAAAAACAAACAACAAACAATCATTTACAAGTACCTAGTTATATAAACCGGATGAAAAATGCAATATTAAGATACTGCCCAATTGCTGATCTATGATGTCGCTTACGGAAAACATACACAATATTTCCGGTGTATATTTAATAAATTGACGATTTCACCACCATAATAGCTCATCGACATCCCATTGCTGAGAACGTCTTTTCCCATAAGATTGAAGGATGTTAGAACACTCTTATCGTATTGGTTAAACAAATAGATACTCATATAATCTCTGCTGGTCTACAATGAAACGAAATTCCGAAATTTCGGACTCAATTTCGTGTTTTTGTTTATACCAAAATCGGATCAATAAATAGAGTTTAACATTTCGTTCGTAATACATCCTATCACAAAAGTCCGAAGGAACGATATTTTAACATTTTTAATATTTCCAAACGTCATGTATTATGTAGTTTTAACATCAAATTTGTGTTTAGTTTGGCTCCGAAATTTCGGAAAACATTTCATGGTAGGCCCTCTGTTTATAACAGAGAATATAGAATATAATAAAAAAAAAAAAAAACCAAATTTTGTTGAACTTTTCACAGTAACACTCTAAATTACAATGTCTCTAAAAAAAACGAATCAATCAGTTATTATTATTATTTTAAGGGCTTTTACCTTCTTCAGGTATATCAGTCCTATCGTACCCTGAACTGATTTCTCAAACAAAACTTTATCTACTTTCCCTAGACGCGGAAAGAGAAGAATGAATGGGCATTAATAATTTACAGAGATGTTCAAAAAATATTTTAATCTAAAAACTAAACCACTGAATAATTTGATAAAATTTCTATGGAACTAATTTGTAAAAGTATATCTCTTTACAAAAAAA